TCTTACATTCAAGTCATCCGATACAGACGTTCTGTGATTTGCTAACAAATATAGGGTCAGCGCTTTGTGGGTCATCGCACACAAACGAGTGTTTTATGACAAAAAAACATTCCTCACAATAATAATTAATCACTTTCATTTCTAAATGCAAATGGTATGCCACGAGGCATTCAAACAAATAACGTTTCATTGATAACTTCAGGCTTATCCATAATAACAGCTTGGGCGTGCTTCTTTGTATTTTGTTTGTTATCTACTTTCTCATTGTTAACCACCACTGTGACGCTTTTGCTTAAAGAAAACAATAAAGGAATGACGAACATAACGGTTCAGTAGTTAAAATATTGCACTGTCCTAAAAATAAGATTCTGAAATGAGACAAAGCAAGAGAGTGTACCATCACGCGACTTCACTATGAACAACGAAGTAATTCGAAGCAACGCAATGACTTACGACTAATGTCAGTTACCAAGATACGTTCGACACCCACCACTAATTTAGCACAATGGAGAAGCTTGAGAGTAATGAGAACGACTGAAAGACATCTGTTAATGTCTAGATTGCGGCACATTTTATCGCTTTCAGTCCGGCAAGTACGAAAACTGCCAGAATGTTCAGTACGCAATACCGAGGAACAGCATGGGCAAGGTTATTATCAAAATACCTTGGAATCCTAACACAAGGAAACGACAAGTACGGAAAAAAAGGTTCCAATACGTCGTTTAACGGATTCGGGTCCTTCAATGTACGTGAGAGAAATGAACGAACTAACATGGGTGATGGGTATCGCTGTCAAATGAGAGCACAGTAATAAGTCATGGAAATAAAAAAAAAAAAAGAACAACAAGGCAAAGAATTTGCCGTGATATTTGTTTTAAAACTGTACAAGAAACCACCATTACGAGAGATGCAAGGAAAATTATGTTTCCTTTACCGACAAAAAAATAGGACAACAGTTACCAGTTGCAGTCTTAAATGGACTACGGTCAGAAGAACGAAGATCAGCTGATGATTTCAAAATATAATGACAAAACTCCTGCAAACTCACTGGCAGTAACTAATGAACTGGGTCAGGATTTTGACGGTGATTCTTCAGTGTAAGGGTACGATTATGACACACGCTTGCCGAACCCACTAAAACAATACATAATGAAGCGTCAAAGAGTTGCTACTCTACGTTTAAAAAATTAAATGAAAATTTAGCAACAAAAGGAATAATTAGGTCCCTTCCACAAACTGAGTGTACAAATGGCTTCAAGATTTGACATTTACGTTGGAACTTTACTGAAGACACAAAGATGATTGAAGAGGCATATATTTGACTTACAATATGCAACAGAATTCGGTGACAACAGGAAGTTGTCGAGCTGTTTAGTGGTCGCCAGTCCTTCTCCGCAAATGATGTTTGTCGCAGGACTGGAGAGGGGACAAAAACACGTCGTATATCTCGTATATTTCATATTATCACCTGACAGATTTTTTGCAATAATAACAAACGAACGCGTGGATACCGTGGATTTTGCACGTGTTCCTCAAGCAAGGAATCTTTGGTGAAAAAACAGCTGAGAGAACTACATCCCTCAGAGAAAAAGGTGCTTCAAAGCGAAAACCTTTGCCGAGCAGGTAAAACGCCTGGACCTTTAGAGTGTGCATTTGTCTGAAAATAAGCTTTGACGTGATCGACCAGCCGCAAAATAAACGACTGGAAGATGAAAATAATAACCTTAATTAACTCTTTAGCCATAAAGTTACTTTTTTTATTGATCTTAGGTATCCAAAATGGCAGAGATGAACTTAGCACGCCTCCCAGCTAATCCACAAGAGGATTGCCAGGTGACAAAAGTTTTTACAGTGCTGTACCTAAACCCACATACGTAATGAAGGCATATTAGTGTTGTTTTTGGATTCTTAAATTTTGTATATTTTTTTGTTTCCTTTCAGTACATCCAACTGAAACAGAGTCTGTACGAGTTACAGCTTTCACTGACCGAGTACTTCTGCACAATTCTGACGATTTATCACCATGGACAGAAATCTTCTTTTGAGGATTCAAGGTCTTTATCAGCTTATCCTTCCATTGGTATTTCTCTTACAAAGAAATCGTTTACTGAAAACGAATTTGTTAATCATTCACTGTTGTAAGGAGGTGCTCCAACTGCAATAGTTTGACACTTTTATTATTACAGTTAAACCCTTCAACCTTAAATATTAACAAGCATGATATGCTCTACACTATTCTTCCTACATTTTAAAAGATTCTGATAAAAAAAAGTTGTCAACAAATAAAAACGTTGTTTTCATTCATAGATCATTTCCTTTTTTTCACGACTGTTAGGGGTTAAGCTCCAAGACATATCATAATACAGACATTAATATCTTCCAATTGTCTCTTTTACAAAGCTTTATACAGATTGAAAGACCGCAAAGATTGGCCTTGGTAAGCACTCTTAAATTCAGTTTGGTAATCTTTTGCAACGTTATTTTTGAACCTCTCGCTACGTCCTCATGTTAGATGCTATTCACCAATACATATCCAAGTGGGAAGAACTGCATTGCATTTTAATTTTATGGATTAAACCTTTGTATTTTACAATTTTCTACAGCTAAGTACTACAATACATATTTAAAGATCCTTATTATTGTTCTCTGTGTGTAGGAAAACCCAAAAGAACAAGAACTTCAGACTGCTTCATTTATTAAGAAGGAAATGGACAGAATACTAGTAAGTAACATCAAAGGAAAGAGATTCTGATATTAGATAAAGTCAAGTATCTAAGTTTTTTTTTCCTGTTTACTGCAGAAAGATCCAGCTCACCATGGAAGGGATGAGACTGCCCCAAATAGAGAACTACTAGACGCTTTTAAATGTCTGTGGACTTATTTTCAGTTAAATGAAGGAGCGGGCACACAAAGAGATCCACCCATACCTTCGTTTGACAGTATTTACCAGCCCAGCAGGTAATTCGGACAGTTAACCACTCTTTCCAACTATATCATCACTTTTTTGACTATCTAAGAATCCTTATTAATGAAACTTTGTTATCTGTGTTCGCACCTTTAAATTTAATACACTTACGAGTATGATTACTGAAGGTGTAACTTCTTCACCTATTTGTTATACATGTAATTCAAAACTAAATTTATACGGGTTAAATTAAAACTAATCTTCTAATACTTTATTTTTAAACAGCCATTACCATGCCCAAGAATGGGGAGAAACTGTATTGGTAAGTTAAATAAATGACAAACACTCGACAAAATCTTAGAAAAGAAACAATGAAGTAGCATTATGATCCAAGGGGAACTGGATAGCACTGTTAGAGAACTGGGGAAAGATGTTACAGGCAACATTGTCAGTTGGCCTTGAAAAAAGGACATCTTATTAATCCCATAATCTTTTCTTTCTTTTTTTTCTCGGTAATTCCACCAATAACATTTCAAAAATCATATAGCCATATCACCGAGTATATTCAACTTCGGAGCTGATGAAAGTCCTGCCATCTACCACATGGGCGTGGCAGTTAAATGAGCTCTGTCAAATGGTTTACATGGCTCCTTTGTTTAAATCTATTGTAGTGCAACAGAGGTTTGAAAGAAGACTGTGAAGTTGTCACTCAGATTCTTCAACAACAAACAGGATTGCTGAAAACTAGTGGAGTGAGCAGATTTCAAGCTTTATTTTATTTATTTTAGGAATAAGAACCTAAACTGAAGCTCAGCTTTGTCATCAAACTCTCTGACATCAGCTTAATTTAGTTTATTTGTACATCAACTTACATTTTTGACTCTTAAAATTTACTTAAACCAGCTCAACCACTTTTATCCTTATTTGTAATGTTACTCTTAAAATGCCTGTCGTACTAACTGGCATGACAAGTTACCAAGTTTGGTCTGGTTATTTTTTTATTTCAATGTTAAGGAGAACGTTTTTCCAGAAAAATTTCGATGAAGGGTCACTTTAAAGTCACTTTCTTTTTCTATTGTTAATTAACAGCAAATTGAGACGTCAGAAGAACTTGACCAATCCCTACCAAGAATACGTACCTATCTGAAGCAAAAGACAATTACGCCAAGTCCTCCAAGGACGACCAGGTAACCCACACATATTAAGCATTCCAAATGGAAGAAACTTTATGAATACTCAGAGCATTTAAACAACGGCCATTATAGTGAACTTTAATCAAGTGTTATCTTTCGTTCGAGCCAAAAAATTGAAGAGAAAACAACTGCTGTTAGCCTTTAAGTTGGGGTGCCTGTTTTACTTTCATAAGTATCAGTTGTTAGTGGAATATTCTCCTTTCTGGCCCTGTATGTTTTGCAGAGTAATTGGTAGGTTTTCGTTGAGTTCTGCCACTGTATACATGCATTTATCAAAAAGGCCTTTTATTTTAAGTAGTTAAGCATTTTACACTTCTCCCACCTAAGATACTGTCTACCATATGGAAATTTAGATTGTATCTATTTGAAAAAAAAAATTACAACAGGTTTTTCTACGTTTATTGTTTGTTAAATCATGACTAACCTGAAGCTTTCTTTTATATTTCAATACAGTTATGAAAAAGACAAAGTCTTAGAAGATTTAGACTGGGTAAGTACATTTTACGAAAGAAACTGAAACAGTTGAAAGTAAAACTAGAAGCGCTTATATTTCTAAGCTATATAATCCCTTACCCATCATTCTGTAAAGCAGCCTTCAAATGCAGTCATGGAGTCCATATATCAGGGCAGTTATAACTGTACGATAGAGAAATGGTAAATGTAGATTAAACAAAAAAAAGATTTAGCTTTTAACCTGTACAGTAATTTTTCTTTTAATTGCAATATATATGTAGAGATATATAATAATCATATTTAATCATATGCATGCATAATCAACTATGATGTTAATATTTTACATTTTGGTGTAATAATATATGTTATAGTGGCATCAATCAATACCAATCTAACAGGCGTCATCTGACGTTCAATTTTTAAAAATGCAATCACACACTTAATGAACA